ATCACTTTAGGACTTAACCCCTTGTGAGGTTGTTTTCCATTGTTTACTATATGCACCGGAGACCGACAATTTTGTCTTAACTCAATTTTATTATGTTTACTCTTTCATTTATGTTGATTCGTATGAAAGCCGGATATTATCAAGGCATTTTGTTTGATTTTGAGTAAAACCACCTAATCAAAAGTAATTCACCTTGTGAGTGAGCGATCATTTGTAAACACCTTTGATCCTTTTAGTAAGAATTCATCATGAATTCTAATGTTGTTTGTTGGTACTTTACCCTCAACCATGTATTGTGGTTGAATTTTTCCTTGCCTTAGAAAGTGGGAGCAATTTGTCACTATGTGTGGTCGTGTTTAAGTCGGGGAGAGAAATGTTGCTTGTTTATAAGAGGGTTGATTGAGGTTGAAAATAAATATTGTGGTGAAAAAATAAAAAGGAAAAAAATGTGTGTGAGAAATAAAATAAAAAGAAAAAAAAAGGAAGAGAAAAAGTTTTGAAAAAAAAGAAAAGAAAAAAAAGTATCAAATAAAAAGTTTTGTGTTGATATAACATTTGGGAAAGTTGAAAAAGTTGAATGAGCGGTGATTGGGACTTTGTAAATTGATCACTCCCATAGGATTATACATTGTTGTTTGTTTCAATTACCTCTATATATTAATCCTTCCTTGTTATCAAAGCCACACTACAATCCTTGAAGCCTTTGTGATTTTTGCGCTTTTCAATATGAATTTGCTTCGATGAATGCATAATTTAGTTGTTGTTAGCAAGATTGTTGGGCGAGAGTTGAACACCTCATGTTTGTGTTTTTCATATACTAAATGAAGTGTGTGCTAGGTGTGATTCACTTATGAAGATTGTATTCTTTTAGAATTTTTGACACGTGCTTTGTATTTAAGAGTTGTTTCATTTTCATGTTATCGTTGTAGTTTAGTGTTAAGTTTTTACCTTGTGTGTACGTTTTTATTTTGAACCATACATTTATTTTCTGTTTTAAAAACCTGTTAATTTATAATTCTTTGATTATTGTTTCTTTATTCTTTGCGTTGTTTGGCCTTGTTTGAGGACAAACAATGATTCATGTTTGGGAGAGTTTGATAAGTGCAAATTGTAGTTATTTTTGTATATACTGTTTGTTGCACTTATCGACTCTTGGTTGTTAATATTAGTTTAATAACCTAACTTTGTGTATAAATACGTTTAGTTTATGTATAAAGCATTTTCGTGTATAAAGTGTATCGTTTGATAGTTTGTATTCATTTTGTAGGTATTGTAGCATTGTTGGAGAAAGAGGAATAAAGCTCCAAGATGCATTTTTGATCAATGAAGAATAAGGAGAAAGGTGAAGCCATTCCAAGTTATCAGTAAAAGCAACAAAAGTTGCTGAACTATCTTGTGTCGCCGGGCGAAATTTCTGTCTCCTGACGATAGTGGGCGAGAAAAGCCATTTTTGATATTGCCTCTGGGTTGCTTCATTGCTGCATCGCTAGGTGAGGAATAAAGGTATCACCGAGCGAAACTTTCTGTCGCCGGGTGATGGAGGATATTTTTGACCTACTGAGGACGTGGCCTATCCTGGGCCAAGTGTATAAGAGCCGTCACCGTGCAACGATTTTATGTCACCGGGAAATTCTCGCGGAACACATTTACGTTATACTTTCATTTTGTTTCATTTTGGGGGGATGGTTTAAGGGGTATTTTTTCCCAAATTCCATCACCTTCATTTTTTATAGTTAGAGGTTAGACAATAACATTTGTGGCTTGCAAATGGATGATCCAGGGTCATGAGCTTGATGGATCGTGTTTGACACCGCGTGAAATCTGGTTTCTTCTCCTCTTCTTCTCTTTGTAACCATTATTTGTTGGATTTTGTATGTAACTTTACCTTGATTATATGTATATTTATTGCTCATGGTGTTGTATGAAACTTTCTTTACAAATATTTATTAATGTTTATCCTTGTTAGCTTACTAAGTGGTTGAGTTTGAGTCGTCGCAGAGATGGACGAATTGAATATCCGGATTTAGAATGAATATATATTGGACTTAGATTATAGAGATAGATTTAGGTTTAGTAATCACTTAGGTATCGACTCTTAATGTTTCTGTGTTGTTTTGGGTTGTGCTTAGAGATTGTCGACATGGAGCGACACAATTGATATCTCGCTCTGCATTAGAAATGACCTCTGTGTGAGCGATACATGATAATATTGACGAATAGTTAAGGTTAAGTGCAACTGGGTAGTAAGTTTAAGTATGTGATATGGTAGATGAAATACAAACTCGAGAGTTCTAAACTATTCGAATGATGAAATTCTTCTTGTGTATAACTTTTATGTTCACTTATTTTCCTTTTTATAAAAACCAAATCCATTTATCCCCAAACCCATTCATCCCCAAACTCATTAATAAATGAATTGTCGAATGACGAATCAATAACCAATCTCTATGGACACGATATGATATAACCTATATCATCCGGTAAATTAATAACTTATTTTTTGCTTGCCGCTATTTACCGCAACAATAAAATGGCGCCGTTGCCGGGGATTGGTTATATTTATTTTGCATTGCGATAACTCTTTTGTTTTTGAGTTTTATAATTAATGTATATGTTGTATAGAAATTGTATATTAACTTGTATATGATACTTCTGCATATATGTGTTTTTCTTTGTTTTCACGTATTGTTGTGAATTGTCTCGTTTTCATAACGTTTGTTGTGTGATTGTTAGGACACTTTTTTTGGGTTTGTACGGTGTGACAATACCATGGCATGATGAGAGGAGGTTACTAGCTTTCACAATAAAGGCGTCGAGCTCACGACGTAAAACAAGCATGTTTTGTTTGTATTTGTTTATGTGTGTGGTGATTTGTGTTTTAACAAGTTGAAACAATGAAATATTCTGAATTTTAAATCTTCACTTTTCAACTTGATAATTCATTTTCACTCGGTTTTCATATCGTTATTTGTATTTGTTTTGTTATGTCAATTTGTGTTTTAGGAAAGCTTGTCGTGTTTAGCTTGAGGAGTTTTGTTCGTTGTATATATTGTAAATTTTGTATATTGAAATTTTGTAGGAGTATTATATTTCTAATTCTTTTGATTGTTGTTTGGACTCCAATTTTGGTCCGATATCTTGAGGAATTTAGAGACAATTTTCCAAGTCTGAACGTTTCAACTTGCGGATGTATGGTAATGATAGTGTTTTGAAGTTGGTACACGCCAGATACTCATTTATCGCTTTCTAGAACATAACATGTTTAGAAGACTTTTCTTTTGTATAATTTTCATGTCATTCATTCTTGTGCAAATTGTGTTCACTTTTGAATCACTTTAAGACTAAACCCCTTGTGAGGTTGTTTTCCGTTGTTTACTATATGCACGGGAGACCGACAATTTTGTCTTAACTCAATTTTATTATGTTTACTCTTGCATTTATGTTGATTCGTATGAAAGCGTGATATATTCAAGGCATTTTGTGTGATTTTTAGTAAAACCACCTAACCAAAAGTAATTCACCTTGTGAGTGAGCGATCATTTGTAAACACCTTTGAGCCATTTAGTAAGAATTCATCATGGATTCTAATGTTGTTTGTTGGTACTTAACCCTCAACCATGTATTGTGGTTGAATTTTTTCTTGCCTTAGAAAGTGGGAGCAATTTGTCACTATGCGTGGTCCTGTTTAAGTTGGGGAGAACAATGTTACTTGTTTATAAGATGGTTGCTTGAGGTTGAAAGTAAATATCGTGGTGGAAAAAAGAAAAAGAAAAAAAAAGTGTGTGAAAAATAAAAGAAAAGAAAAAAAATAAGAGAAAAAGTTTTGAAAAAAAAAATGTATCAAATAAAAAGTTGTGTTGGTATAATATTTGAAAAAGTTAAAAAAGTTGATTGAGCGGTGATTGAGACTTTGTAAATTGACCACTCTCATAGTACTAGGCATTGTTATTTGTTTCAATTACCTCTAAATATTAATCATTCTTTATTACCAAAACCACACTACAACCTTTGAAGCCTTTGTTATTTTTCTTTTGGTAGTGACAAAATGGGGAAATTTTTTTATAATTACATTCACAATTAAAATTACAAATAAAAACGGTGAAAGAAAAAATAATAATTTTAAGAATAAAAATGTATGTACAAACTAAACCCAACATAAATGCCGCAGCCAATTTGCTAGAAACTAAATGAAGAAAAACTTGTATGGTTACATTATCAATTATAAAAATTATTTGAATAGAAACACAAATAAAAATGATAAAAGAAAAAAAATTTATATGTGCATGAAAATTATATTTATTTATAACAGTCTTAACAATCCAGCTCATAACCACTAAAATAAAATATATATATATATATATATATATATATATATATATATATATATATATATATATATATATATATATATATATATATATATATATATATATATATATATATATATATATATATATATATATATATATATATATATATATATATATATATATATATATATATATATATATATATATATATATATATATATATATATATATATATATATATATATATATAAAATTAAAAAATTAAAAAATTCCATCGCATATTTATTCTTCCAAATAAGTTCTCAATTATAGCCTAGTGAATGTCTTTCAAACACTCTCATCTTGCGTCAATTAAGATAATTTCCATTATTTGAACCAAACAGTCTTGCTCCTTGGTTAAAAAAACACAGTATTGCTATTGATGAACCAGAAACACCTTAAATATTTACACATATATCAACAAGAAAAAGAATCAAACTGAAACTCTCCATCAAGATTTAAATGGAAAACAGAAGAAACAGAATCAAATAATAGAAAGAAAAATAAAATTAGACTTAACAAATCCCACTTTTAATTTCCTTTCCATTCACACAAGAAAGATACAGAAAAAAAAATGAACATGAAGAAAAAACCAAGAACATGAAATCCGAATTAATGTCCAAAAACAACCTAGTAATTAGTACTTCAATTCTAAACATCTAGCACAAGAAGCACACAAATATTTTCTCTTAATCTTAAAACACATAGGCAAAAAGCAAAATCTCCATTGCACCTCAACATCCATAGCTTCAACTTTTCCACCACAATAAGGACAAGAACCTGATGCTTGTTGTCTTCCCAATTCCTTCTCTTTTTCTTCACACGCATAAACAAACCACATTTTTTCCTGCTAGATTTGTTCTTTGATTTCACTTCTGTTGTTGTTTGAAATATTTTGCTATTTTTTTTGGTCGAGTTCCTTTGCTTAGATTTAGTTGCAATTTTGAAAGAACAACCCATATGCACTTTATTTATATAATATCCAAAATGTGTTTATTGGTGGTGGTGGTTAAATAAATAGAATATTCCCTTTGATTATTTCAACTTTTTTCTTTTCCACTCACTAGTATTTTGTTTTCTTGGTGAAAATAATGCTTACATAAAGGGTTAAATGTCTAAAACTTTTCATGGAAAATTTTATTTTAATGACTGCTTGAATTTAATTTTACTTTGTTCTTTTATGAATTATATGGTTTTTATATCTATTTGAGTTAGAAGAACAAAGTATCTTGATTTAGGAAGGAGAATGTGAGTTAAGATGTAGTGGGTCATTTTACTCTCAAAAACTATATATTCGGTTACGAGTGAATAAGGAATGGGCGAGAATGATTGTATCATTAAAGAGAATGTAATAAGGAAATAGTTATACATATTTGCTTTGTCTCTTAATTCGGTGAGGTGGTTTTCATGAGGAAGATGAAGAAGTTTTCCACATTCTTCTACGTACATGATCATGAGATATTTGTCTACTTCGTTGTGGATAATCCCATCAACTTGATGAAGGTTTGAGTAGAACATCTTTACTAGAGTGGTATAGATTTTTTTTTAGGGTGCGCAGAGGAAATTTGAGAGTTTGAGTTCTTTTAAGGTTTTGGAAAAGTTACACTCTTTGAATTCTTTGGGATCTAAGATATGGATTCTCATGACCTCTCGGTTGACAAAGTGCATAAAGAACATGTTTTCTTGATATTTAGTTGTGAATTCATCGTGAGACTGGAATTCAGGATGAATCTTTTGAGAATAATCCTATTAATGTGTAGGAATGAAAGCATGAGATGCAAGAGAGGTTTATAATATATTACTTATTTATAGTGATACCTTCTGGGACTTTTGAATGTGTGGGTCGATAAATTTTGATGATCAGATCACGCTGTCCAAAAATCAGATCCAAAATCTCCAAATTTAGATCTTTTAATTGATTGCTCTAACTGATTAAATATCCAAAATTTTCATCTTTTGATACAAATTTCATTAATTCTTAGATATACTTTTTCTTGTCCATCACGTTGCTTTGGATTGGATTTGAAATTTCTCATTTTGACAAACTTCAATCGATTAGCTCCTTTTGTCAATCGATTAAATTTTCTTTGACCTTCTTGGTGTTTTAGTTTGATTGTTGGGCTTTGTTTCTTCGATTTATACTTTTGATACCCCTAAGCTTAAAAAGACATGAGCAAACTTGTTTTAAGGGTATAAATAATAAATTTTGGAAAATATACAAAGAATATTTATTTAAAAACATAAAAAGAGTTTAAAAATAATTATTTTAAGGGGTTAATCAGATTAACTAATTATTTTCAACCTCAAAACAATTTTATCTGTATCAAAAAATAATTCTTGATAAAATTTTCTTTAGGGAAGACACTTCAAAAGTATATCCTTCTCCAAACATAAAAAGAGTTTAGAAATAAATATTGCAAGGGGTTAACCAAATTAACTGATTGTTTTCAACTTTAAAGTAATTTTACCTGTATCAAGAAATAATTCTTGATAAAACTCCTTTCAAGGAAGACACGTCTAAAGTATATCCTTCTCTACACATCATTTGATGCGGGAGTTGGTAAACAAATAGATAAATAAGTCCATCACAGACTTATTTACTTTATTGATCATAACATATCAAAAATTGAGAAATTTATCAAATGATGTTGCTTTGATCATAACTATTTACATATGTCATCATCGTTCATCTTCCAAGATTAAAAACTTTAAAGAATATATACTTCTAGGGTATACTTCTGCTTTGTACAACTTCTTAAAATAATTTTTTCTTGAAGTTCTAAACTACAAAGCATTGTCTGCAAAAACAAGTAAATAAGTTATTCTGATTTTTCTTTCTATCTCCTATCTTCCTTGTAGGCTTCCTTTGAGCATTATTATCTTTGTTGGAAGACGATTCTTTATATTTCTCTCAAAGCTTTAAATATTCCCCTCTTTGTTCAATTGTTGAAGAGACTTCTTCATCTTTTTGTTGTTCTTGAGTAGAAGATTCCTTGATGTTGATTGAACTGGATCATGACATGAATGATGCTTTTTTTCAATTTTAATCTTTTGATTATATCAGCTTCTATGTTCCTTCTTTCTTGATTTTTCTGAAATTCACGAAGATTTCTATCTATAGATTTAGGAGTTGGAAATATTTTACAATTTTTAATTCTATAGACAAATGTTAGTGACAATAATCTAAACATTTTTAAGAAAATAAATTTATTCGTCTCATTTGTTTATATCCTCTGGCTTTATATTTGAAGAAACTCCATATATCTTTTCCAAAGTATCATACATTTCCTTGGCGGTTTATGCAAAAACAAGATTTATATAAATCTATTTTTGTCAAAGAATTTTTTCCACTCATTTTTCATTTATTTGATGAGTAGGGTAAAATGGACCATTGAATAAAAATATTTTATTTTGAGAAAAAACACATATATTATAAAAGAAAGAATAAATTTTCAAAAAATGGTGAGTTTTGAAAAAGAATCTTGTGTTAGAAGTCACCTTCCTTCTGAGACGATTAGTTCATAACAAGAGTTAAGCTCTGATACCATTGTTAGACTACGACAACTCATCTAGAGCGGGGGTGGGGGGGGGGGGGGGGGGGGGAGGGGGGGGGGGGGGTGAATAGATATCCATATTGAAATTGATATTTTAAAATGGTTACTTAAAAACTTATTTAGAAAATAATGTTGAGCGGGAGGTTCATTGGCCTAGATCAAAATAGTAGTCTAAACAAATTTAGTTATTGGAAACTCGGATATGCACAACCATATGGAATTAAGATAATGATAAAATCAATCAACATAATAATATCTCAATCAATAGTTTAATATCAAACACAATGGTTTCATATTTCCAATGAAATCATATTAAAAACATAACTCGACACTTTATCGAACATGTCGCCAAAATCAATTTTTCTGAATTTTCTTTGAGCTTAGCTGATATGAAAAAGAACTTACAATCAAAGTGATTATAAGATAATCTATAAAGCATTTTAAATTTTAACAATCAAACAAAAATTATATACGAATTGATCAATCATACAATACTTTCAACAAATTGCACAAGGAGAGTAAATGAGAGTAAGTGATATAACATTGCAATTTTCCCTTGAGTTGAACAAGCTAAATAATTTTTCAAACACTTGTGTGCAAGTGAATTTTTAGAATTTTCCTTTAAGTTATTTTGATAAGAAAAAGAACTTATAATAAAAAGTGACTATGAGCAATATCAACACTTGATGTAAATAAAAAATTAGTTTGAAAAATTACTTACAATTCAATTTATAATGCAATTCTATTTGACAGATTTATTGAAAAATATTAAAGCAAGTAAATGCGATAAGAAAAGAGACACAATGAATTTGTCTTCATAGTTCCCCACTTTCTTCCTTGCATGTGGGCACGTCTGCACCTAATTTCAATGGTATTAGGATAATTCTTGCTATGCAAAAAGTTGATACAAGAGAAGTATTCAAGAACAACTCCATAAACCCTAATGCTTGTTGTTGATTCAGCCCCTTCTCTTCTTTTGATCTTTGATCAAGACCAACAGCGATAGATGCAACCTTTTTGTCGCTTAAGCTACTTTCTTGGAAATATTTTAAACACTCTAAGGATCCTTGCAAAGATTTCAAACACTCCAAGGGATTTCACTCGAGTAAATACGATTGCACTCTATCCTCACAAGATCTTCAATTCTATCTGAATCTTATTGGTACTACCTTACAAGTATTTTAAACACTCCAAGGGAATTCACATGGACGATTCCTTCTTGACCGATCTTGTCGCAAAACCCTTGCACTAACACGGATCTTGGAGGGCAAACCCTAGCAAAGAGTTTTTCTGGATGAAACCCCTACAAAGCTCAACTCAATACTCAATTGGACACTATCAATCCTCGTCTAGATGGAACCCCAACGAAACATCATCACAATGTAATGTTAGTGTGTATGTATAGGTTGGAGGTTGAAGATGAAGAGAAAAGTAGGCTAATTTTATGGGTTTACCAAGTTATTTACTTAAAAACTTATTTGAAAAACAATGTTGAGCGGAAGGTTCATTGGACTAGATCAAAATTGTAGTCTAAACGAATCTAGTTATTGGAAACTTGAATATTCACAAGCCATATGGAATTAAGATAATGATAAAACCAATCAACATAATAATATCTCAACCAATAGTTTAATATCAAACACAATGGTTTTATATTTCCAACAAAATCATATTAAAAACACAACTCGACACTTTATCGAACATGTCGCGCACAATCAATTTTCCAGAATTTTCTTTGAGCTTAGTTTATATGAAAAAGAACTTAGAATCAAAGTGATTATAAGCTAATCAACAAAGAAATTTAAACTTTAACAATCAAGGAAAAATTCTATATGAATTGATCAATCAAACAACACATTCAATAAAGTACACAGAGAGTAAATGAGAGTAAGTGATAGAACATTGCAATTTTTCCTTGAGTTGCACAAGCTAAACAATTTGTCAAACACTTGGTGTACAAGTGATTTTTTAGAATTTTCCTTTAAGTTGTGTTTATACACAAAAACACTTGTAATCAAAAATGATTATGAGAAATATCAACACTTGATGTAAATCAAAAATTAGTTTTTAAAATTACTTACAATTTAATTGATAACACAATGCTATATGATAAATTTATTGAAGAATATTAAGGAAAATGAAAGCGATAAAAGAAAAGAGACACAAGGAGTTTGTCTTCACAATTCCTCACTTATTTTCCTTGCATATGGACACGTCTGTGCCTAATTCCAATGGAATTAGATTGGAATTAGGATAATTCTTACTATACAAAAAGTTGATACAAGAGAAGTATTCAAGAGCAACTCCATAAACCCTAATTCTTTTTGTTGATTCAACTCCTTCTCTTATTTTGATCTATGATCAAGACAAACACTGATAGATGCAATCTATTCTTTTAGGAAGGTA